TATATAAATATATATATATATATATATATATATATATATATATATATATATATATATATATATATATATATATATATATATATATATATATATATATATATATATATATATATATATATATATATATATATATATATATATATATATATATGAATAATTTTTGTATGTGCTTTTATTGTACATCATACGGTATATGCCATGTCTAAAATTAATGAAGATTAATTAGTTTATTTATCCCGGAGATGGGTTGCAACTGGAAGGGCATCCACTGTGTAAAAATGTGCTAGATAAGTTGGCGGTTCATTCCACTGTGGCGACCCTGGATTAATAAAGGGACTAAGCCGAAAAGAAAATGAATGAAAGAATAATGAGTTTATTAATAACCCAAACAAATGAACAAACTGAACAAAAGGCATTACTATACACACTCACTATAACTAATAATATATTACTTTTTGAGCCATTTTATTAATGCAGCTTCTTCTATTGATATACTGTACCTTAAGGTAAATATTAAATTGCCATTGCTGTCTATTGAAGGTGTGTGCGTGCTGTCAACGACGATCGGGGAGGGTAGTGGCGGTTCTAGTTTAAATGACACCCTGGGCGAACCACCCTATACACCCCACCTCCCTTGAATTGTTAGATTTGTTATTCAATAAATATAACTATTTATTTTAAATAAATAAAATTAATATTATTATACAATTAATATTCTGAATAAATAACAGAAATCAGTCCAAAATATTACTGGAAAACAACTGGAGTGATATGCCAAGATCACTGAAGAAACCTTTTGCATGAAAATTAATTATGACAATTCTAAAGAATACAAAAAATGTATTATAGAATCATCTGTGGTCTTAGACCAGATCATGGCTAAAAACTCATGTTATGAAGTCTTACCTCCCTGACTCATTATCCCTCCTTTCTTCTTTAAAGGCATGCTTAGTGAAAGTAACATCATCATCATATTATATAAACTTTAGTCGACTTTCACCTCTGCACAAAAGGCTGTTACTCCGTTTCACGGCGCATGAGGGGCGCGTATTTTGTCGGCGTGCATGCAAACAACCAACCGGGATTCACACAGGAGTGCGTGAGGCGCGCGGGAATGGTTTTCAGCGCGAATGCGTCCGTTTGCTTTCACCAGCATTCAGCATTGAACCAGCACTAAGGGGGAGAGACAATAAATCAGCTACGTCAGTAACAACAACAATAATTTAGTGGCTGCATTTTATTTATTTAAATATTGGGAATTTATAAGTACATTTAAATCAATAATGTCAACAGCAAAATTATATTGGAGTGGCTACAGGGGTGGCCAGAGTTTACCGAGGGGTGGCCGTGGGGGGCGCCCCTGGTAAAGATATGTGCCAGACGCTTTATTTATCACTGTTTATTTAGCTTATATATATGGAAACAGATTAGACTCAATAATAATTCACGCAAAAAGACATGATGTACACATGCGTAGCCAAATTCACGTGCATAAAATCAAATCCACGTGCGTAAAATATTTATTTATATTCACAAAAAACTTCTGATAGAAAAAAAATCTGATAGGCTAAAAGGTACGAGTAGTCCTGACTCTGGCAGGAAAGTCTCAAAAATACACACACGTATCCAGGGGGAGTCGTACGTGAAAGAGGATTTGCACATTCTCATTCAGTATGAACTCGCAAGTTTTAAACATTCAAAACTTTTTGTACACTCCTATACATTTGCAAATGGTGTTTTGCATTTGTGAAATGTATTTTATGAAAATGTATTTTTATTTTGTGCACGTGAAATTTTTTTGTGAATATAAATAAATATTTTACGCACATGAATTTGGTTTTATGCACGTGAATTTGGCTACGCATGTGTACATCGTGTCTTTTGCATGAATTTCTTTTGAGACTAATCTGGTTACATATATATAGACCATTTTGAGGGATGTAAACAAAATCAATGGTCCTTTTACATTTTTCATTTCTGTAGCTTTTGAGAGGATTTACAAAATGCATTCACAGATTTACACATTAGCACATTATTTTAATGCATTTGCACATTTTTTTAAATTAAGAGTTTCAGTAATTATACACAGAAATCTTTATAGGCTATTGTACTCTCATGTCAATAACAATAATTAGTCACTAATAATAATTACATTAGTAAATCATTATTATTGGTGGGTATTTACTGCTCAACATCGAAAAAGAATTTGACCTTTAATAAATAATTGTGTAAATAAATAATTGACACAGAATTCTCCATATTATCTGTCTTTTTCATATGATTCAGCTCTTCCAGATGATCCAGTGATGCGGATTCTCCTGGTGGGCAGGAAAGGTTCTGGGAAAAGCTCATCTGGAAACACCATCCTGCGAAAAAAGAAGTTCAAAGTCTACAAACAAAACAAGAAACACGAGTCTAAACTTTGTAATGCTGTAACTGAGATCCGAGGAACACAGGTTGATGTTCTGGACTGTCCAGATCTGCTGGATCCTGATGTGAATGAAGAGAAACTGCAGAAACTGGAGGAGCAGCTGCTGTCTGCATGTTCAGCAGGTCTCAGTTCAGTTCTGCTCACCGTTCCTCTGGAGGAACCACTGCAGAATGAAGAGGAGATGCTGGAGTACATTAAACATCTGTTTGATCCTGAAGTACTGAAGTACATCATGATCCTGTTCACACATGAAGATGAGCTGGAGGAACTGGATGAACCACTGAGCATTGAGGAATATCTTCAAAATCATGCAGATCTCCAGCGGTTGGTGACTGAATGTGGAGGAAGATTTCACTGCTTTAACAACAACAGTAAATCAGGAGATCAGGTGAAAGATCTTCTGCAGAAGATTGAGGGAACAGTGGAGGAGAACAGAGGGAAGTTTATCAAGCACATGAGAAGAACCAACAGCAAGGACAAAATGATTAGTTGTAAGTATTTTTTTTGTTACAATTAATTTACACTGTGTAAGATTATTTACTTAAGTCTTCCAGAAAATAATAGAACAGTGATTGTTACATGTTTAAGATGTTGAAGTGGGATGCTGTAACATTTAGGTGAGACAGGTGTAATGAGTGTGACAGATCGAGAATAAGGCAAGAATCAATTCTCCTATTTAAGCTTTTTACTCAACAGTTGAAACTATGTAACAGTAATAAATGGGAAAAAAATAAACATTTATAGTTATTATCTTTAAACAAAAACAATGATTGTAAGCCAAATCAAAGAAATTAACAAAACAATCCTTAAATCTAAAGTTTAAACTAGGCATCAAAAAGAAATACAAGTAAAAACCGAGATCTTCAGTGTACACGACACCCAAACTAAACTAATTAAACTACAAAACTCAAAGTACACAAGTGGCAAAACACTCAAACTAATCTCACAAAACATCAATCTAAACTAAAACAAACCGGATAAGTCCGCCAAAGCTTAGTTTAGAATCACAAAACAACCATCATATTATGTTACTTAAAGCCAACGAAGTTCAACAAGCAAACTTGAATTACTATAGTAAACTGAGATAATAAATCACTGAATAGATGAAGCATTTGCACAAACAAATTGCGTGGAGCACAAAGGGTACGCCAAGGCAGAGCGCACGCCACACACTGGTCTAAAAGGGCTTTAAATCCTTGCGGCTCGTCCTGGGATTGGTGGAACTGAAAACATCATAATGATGATGGACAGAATGGTAAACCAATAAGAAACCTAAGGGCTGAGCAAACGGAGAGGAGGATGATAAAAAAGACAGAAAGAAAACATAAATCATAACACTCCCCTGCTTAAGATAAAACTATAATGGATAAATTCCAAAACAATATAGTTTTAACAAATTTTACTTTCAACCACTTTTTTTTTCTCACACTCTATATCAGGGGTCACTAAACTTGTTCCTGGAGGGCCGGTGTCCTGCAGATTTTAGCTCCAACCCTAATCAAACACACCTGAACAAGCTGATCAAGGTTTTACTAGGTATACTTGAAACATCCAGGCAGGTGTGTTGAGGCAACATGAAGCTAAACCCTGCAGGGACACCGCACCAGCCCTCCAGGGCTGAGATTGGTGACCCCTGCTCTAGATAATGCATCGGCCAATACATTTTCCTATCCTTTTTTATGTTTTATCATCAAGTTGTAACCTTGAACGATCAGAGACCAGCGCATGAGCCGTTAGTTTTGATTGTGCATACGGGACAGAAATACCACAGGGTTATGATCTGTGAAGACAGTTATGGGCAGATTACTTGAACTCAAACAGACATCAAAGTACTGCAATGCCAGCAGTAACGCTAACATTTCTTTCTCAATCAAAGAATAATTTAGTTGTGCTTTATTAAACTTGCGTGAGACGAAACAAATTGGATGCTCTATGCCATGGTTGGCCAACCCTGTTCCTGGAGAGCCACCTTCCTGAATATTTTGGTGGATGGAGTTTGTGTGTTCATGCTAATAAACACACTCCATTTCCAGTGTTCTGTCCCAGCTGTCAGATTGTTCGACCTTCCATTTAAAAAGCAGATGGCACTTTTTTTTTGACAAATAAGTTTAATTGAAAATACAGCATCTGCGGTTGGTTCATATACACATATATCGAAAGAATGGTGTGTTGGGTTCATTGTGCATCTCGTGGGTGCAACCAACAAGAGTTGTGCATTTTAGTTGAACTTTGAGCATGATAAGCAGTTCGGTGTTAGTTTTTTATTTAAATAAATTAAAATTTTAAGGGGCTGTTTCATATGGATTTATTAATCATTCTTACTGTTCAGTGAACACAAACTGCCGTAGATTATTAAAAACGCAAACCCCTCACTGCACCACAGCTGCACCTTCAGCCGACCTCCTCATTCCTGCAGCGAGGCAGCACGAGGGCTTTATGATTGTTTATGAGCGTCAAAAGTGGCGGATCTGTCCGGCGAGTTCTGACATCTGTGCCTCATTACCACTAGCCACTGTGAAATATGCTAATTGCAGTATAAGCAGTGAATGGGTCAGTCCTGATTTACTCCCACGCAGTTTATGTAATGGTATGGCCCTGATGTGTGTATGGGAGTGTAGTTGAAGATGTAGCTTTTGCCTGTGTGTGCACTAGTGTTAGAGAGAATAAAGTTGTTCTATGTGTTTTGAGGTAAAGGAGGTGGGAAAGGGCCGTCATCGCAGCTTACGCTTGTCTGTTTACCTTTCGGAGCCCCAGCCATCGCGCAGTTATCCTCATCAGTCACAGAGGATGACGCATGTGGTGGGCACGTTGTTGTGATGACTGCACCAGCGTGATCTTCCTGCAGTCAAACAATGCAAAAATGCTTTAAAGTGTAGTGTACGCATTACAGCCTCACATCTGACAAGCTCTGAGCGAGTGGGCGCAAACTATTGATTTTCAAGACAGCCTCGCTGCAGCCAATCTACAGCATTTGATCCGGGAACATCAAGGATGTCGCAGGTTGACGCTGACAAGATAATACCCTTGGGTATCGAAATTTGGTACTGAACGAAAAAGATTTTTTCAATACTCTATAGTATAGAGACAATTCAGTCGGTGCTTAAAAAGACTCTATACCCAGCCCTAGATCGGCCCTGCTGGATCGGCCTTCGTGGAGAGCACCGATCAAACCCTCCCAAGCGATTATTGGCTGATTATGATGGGTGACCAATGGCCCCAGATGTTTATAATGTCAGGCTTCTCCCCTGGCTACCAGTGTAATTTTAAAATGTGGAGTGGTGTGGTATGAGACTTAAACCCTAACCCACCCCAATGCCAATCTTAGAACCATTCAAATACAGTGTTGGCAGCATAATCTGACCTGTATGATAAATGTTAAGACATCGGTGTGGTTTTCTACAAAGCCGGTAAATGGCAGCAAGCATTTAATATGTTGTGTGTTTCATTAGACTGCACAGAGCATCATTATAACAGAAGCCTAAAAAGTATTTTTGCATCGAGTGATCAGCATGATCCACAGTGCCTGCCTTGCGCATAGCCGTGCATTCACACTTGATGTTTGTGTAGTTCTGCAACAACTCTTCTCAAACTCTAGCTGGCTGTAGTATTTTATGTTCCTTTGTGTACATTTTTCTTGACTGGTGTTTTTTTTTTTTCTGAATGTCCCTTAAAGGGCACCTAGGTTACCCTTTTTGTCAGATATAAGTGTTTTGCGTCTCCAGAATGTGTCTGTAAAGTTTCAGTGCAAAACACCCATCAGATTTTTCATTATAGCTTTTCCTAGATTCTGTTTTATACATCTTACCACCAGGGGGTAGTTTTGTAGTACTGCGCCTTTAAGGCGAGTCCTCCCCGCCTACCTTTTCTACGTGTCTTTCTGCATGCCTTAATCTATTCCCTCAGCTGCGTCAGACAACAGACAGACCTAAAGGAAGAAGGTCTCACATAGCGTTTGTGAGAAATACAACAGTAAGAACTTTACCAATGAGTATTTGTTGTGCTGTTGCATTGATGAGTCAAACACAATGTCGTTACAAAGTTCACGCGCACACACACACACACACACACACACACACACACACACACACACACACACACACAGTGCAGCAGACACAAACACACACACAGACAGACAGAGCGCGCTTAGCTTTGCACTGTTTTTGCACGCAAATGTGACAGGATACAGGTTAATCTCCACTGCTGTGTGGATATCTGTTATGCTAATGTACAAAATAAACCTGATTTAACTTCCATAAACCAGGATTGAAGCGTCTTCTTTTATAATTGTTCTGACACGCGGCTGTGCTGATGAAGTAAAGCTGAAGTGAATCGCTGTACTTCATTACACACGTGCTCTGTTTTAAAACACTTTAAACATGTGAAACTCACTCTTAATCACATTTGATGATGATTGCTGATCCTAGCGAACAGAACAGACCTTTCATTCGCGGTTGCTTTGCGTATGTCTGCCTGGTCTTGTTGATCTGACTATACATATGACTACTGGGACATGTTAATACACGCAGCTGTCAATCAATTCGGTGGGCGGGGGGGACCGCAAGTTGCGGTCGGTGTAAAAAATCCGCTCCAATTGGTCCACCGTTTTTATGTTGTTAAATTGAAAAAAAAGGATTGGGTGTGTTTATATCAGCCCAATATGATGGTCTATACACTATATATACACATATGTTTGTACAAACAGCTTGAAAAGTAGATTTTTCACCATAGGTGCCCTTTAATGGACAAGTAGCTAAAACTCACTCATTCAGAGGTGGGAACCAGTGGATGTGCAACAACTTTAATCATAAGGTAAACATAACACAAACGATCCATCTAGAGCTTCTTCATGGGACTTAACACTTGTAAACACTCCATCGGGCTCGCGGCTCTCAGCGCCGCTCACGCTCGTCACAGCTGCCAAGCTAAGAGATTGCGCTATGCATTGTCATTACATGTGGTAATATTTTTTGAGAGGTGGGTGTCAGCGTCAGCCACAGCAAGGGCTAAGCGACCTTGCAAATGCTGTGCCAGATCATATCATACCCATCAACCCTCCCGTTTTTCCCAGAAATCTCTCGTATTTTACAGTTCTATCCCATTATCATGCCGTAAAGGTATTTTCCCGTATTCCTCCCGTATTTTCAGTCTTTTTCTGAAGGGTGGCAAATAAACATTAAAGAGTCGAGCCTCCCTATACTCAACCCATACCGCCGAACCATCAGGGGCCGCACCTTGCTTTTAATGCGAGTCTGTTCTGTGCTTTCACTCTGTTTAGAGATAAAAACACTTTGAAATAAAGATAAAAACAGTGCGATTCCCCTTCCTTTTCGTTAGAGGTGCTGTCTCCCCTTCATATGCAATCCTCAAAACAGTCATATAATGGTTCATGACTGTCAGATGACGTGCTCCATAGTGATAAACAGACGCTGTTTCCCAAACGGATTCTGCACATGCGATTTGAAGCAGAGAGAAAGTCTGGCTTTTGGGTGCTTTTAAACAGACATATACACATAATTAATAATAATAACATCTAATGATGTCAGACAGCCCTATCCCTTTTTTTCACATCCCAATGTTGACAGGTATGGATTATATGCGTGTGCTTGCTGCAGAAGTATAAATCTGCCTTAAGACAGAACAATATTATGCAAGAATTTGTCCTTGTAAGATGGAGTATAAGTATGCGGTGCATATGGAGAGAAAATGTTTGTAGATGATCACAACATGATTCCACACTCAGCCACACAGCCATTAAAATAAGTGTTTGTTTGTTGTCAATACACACCCTCTAGTGGCCAAAATTAGATACTCTGCCTTTAATAAACACTCTAAAAATAAAAGTTATTGATGTAAAGTAATGATAATAATAATAATAATAATTCCTAACAAAACATAATAAAACATTTTTATAGCCATTTTGCGCCAGACCGCACACCACACACCAGCTGATTGGTGGAGAGGAGACAGATTGATGAAGCCAATCATGATATGGGGAGGATTAGGAGGCCATGATGGACAGAGACCAGTGGGCAGATTTGGCCAGGATGCCGGAGTTAAACCCCTACTCTTTTTCGAAGGACATCCTGGGATTTTTAATGAGCACAGAGAGTCGGGACCTCGGTTTAACGTCTCATCCGAAAGACGGCGCTCACTGAGCAGTATAGCGTCCCCGTCACTATACTGGGGCATTAGGACCCACACAGACCACAGGTTGGGCGCCCCCTGCTGGCCTCACTAACACCACTTCCGGCAGCAACCTAGCTTTCCCATGTGGTCTCCCATCCAGGTACTGACCGGGCACAGCCCTGCTTAGCTTCAGTGGGTGACCATGTGAGAGTTGCAGAGAATGAGCTGCCGGCTAATGGCATTGATGTTTACTTGAACATTTAAAATTCCTTTTTCATTCCACATGATGTTCTTTAAGATAAAAAGTTCCTCGTGTTTATAAACAGGTTTTTCTAAACAAGTTCTGCGGCATCACTGTGAAACCCTCTTCTGGAATCTGAGCACATGGAAAGTTTTCCAGTGTTCCCAAAGAACCAATCTGCTTTCTTTAAAGAACCTTGCAGTGCTTAAGATCTTTTTTTTCCTGTTATTAATATTTATTTGTTCACTGCAATGGAAAATGCATGAATGTTAAAGTTTTTTCATGGAACCATAACTGCTAATAATTTGACATTGGTGGTATTTTTGTAGTTTCAGGAGCAAGTTCAGCTGAAGAACAGTCAGATGAGCTTCAGGTTCCTGAAGGTGAAAAAGAGGTCAGACTGGTTCTGCTGGGAAAAACTGGAGTGGGGAAAAGTGCCACTGCTAATACCATCATCGGCAGAAACCGCTTTAACTCCTCCAGCAGTTCACGCTCTCAGACCAAACAGTGCCAGTCAGAAACTAGACTGAGGAGCAGTAAGCAGATCTCCGTCATCGACACTCCTGGACTGTATGACACTGAACTGGGTGAAAAGGAGATCATTACAGAAATAGCCAAATGCATAACTTACGCTTCTCCTGGTCCACACGCTTTCATTATTGTGATTAAAGTGGGCAGATTCACTGAAGAAGAGAAAAACACAGTACAGCAGCTGAAAGAGGTGTTTGGAGAACAGATGGAGAAATACTCCATGATCATCTTCACTCATAAAGATCAGTTAGAGGAAAAGAAAACCATTGAGCAGTTCCTACAGGACAGCGATCCAAATCTCAAAGAACTCGTGGAGAGTTGTGGGAAGCGGTTCCTCTGTTTGGACAATAAATCTGCCAGTTTCCCCCAGTTTAAAGATCTGATCAGTAAAGTAGAGGAGATGGTGGAGGAAAATGGGGGAGAACACTTCTCCAGCGAGATGTTTGAAGAAATACAGAAACGCATTGAGGAGATTCAGAAGCAGAAACTGAAGGAGAAAGTCAAGCAGTTCAAGAAGAAGCACACAGAAGTTACTCGGACAGAATGGCAGAAAATCTACTGGCGTTTAGTGCAGGAGTCCAAGCATGAAGCTCAGGAAACCAATATTGAAAGGTTTTTAGAAGGTTATGCCACATCTTTGGCAAGACATGAGGCGATGTTAAAAGTGACCAGTGAGGAGAAAGAGGCAGCCATTGCAGAGGCTAAGAGGATAGGAGTCAGTCATGCAAATGCTGTTAAACTCGCAATTATAGCTACAAGGAAACTAGCCAAACAGAAGTGTAAAGTTCAGTGAGGGATTTGGTCATGATCAGAAATATGACCCTTACTTCAGGTTTTCATACTAATACTTATAATATTGAAATCAAATATGATCTAGTCAAAGCTGTAGGCATCTTTACTGCTATCTGCTGCTTATAGGAGCTTCTGTGTCTCGGTCTGTATACTGTGATGATATTTTACAGTAGTCTTGGCATTACACTTACACACTTCAACTGATATTAATCAGTTATAAGATTTATGCATACGCAGAACTGATTATGATTATCAGACAAAATTTGATTAAAGGCAAAGCAGAGCCAAAAAATGGAAATGTCAAATACAAGAAACAAGAAGGTTCCTTTGAAGAAAGAGCCAAATATGTATCTTTTTCAAGACTTAAATCTAACACTAACAGTTTTAGCACTTTGTATTATTATAACCCCCTGCTCTGCACACTATGCTGGACTATCAGAGACTCGTCACAGCCTATATGTTGTTTGTATATTGATTTGATAAATTCTGTTGTCCTCATTCATAATTCAGTATAGATAAAAATAATCTGCTAAATGAACATATGTATAAATAAATTCATTGGAATATGTAAGCATGTAAGAGACATATGGAAACTGAATAAATAGACTTTATGGTGCTGAATGATGTTTTGGTCTTGGCTTTACTGTGCTGATGAGTTTGTTTCTTAGCTTTTCTGTGTTAGTAGTTTGTTTTCTTTCCTCAGTTGAAAAGAAATGAATTTTTTCTCCATATTGTGGACTTTAATGGTGTTTAGAAGACTAAATTCCTCTTCCGGAGCCGGTTTGCTGAATGCCAGACTGCAGTGTGCATGAGGAGCCAGCAGACGGCAGTAGAGGAGCACATGTGCTTCAGGTGTCAATCATCAGTGAGATCACACAACTTCAGCACATCTTACACACACACACACACAGACACACAGTCTTGCGTTGCCAACACCTGAATCTCTTTTGTCTTTAACTGTGACATTTTATCCTACTTGTCAGATTATGCTACAACACTGTATCTGAAGGGTTCTGAGGTTGGACATTAGCCCACATTGTGTGATATTTAATAATCCTAAACTGCATAAACATGACTCCCATGTCCCTCTGTAAGATATCAGCTGTTATAATGCCAGACTGAACAACAATGAAGACGCTACAATCATGGAAGAAAACTCATCCATGATTCACACGGTCTCAGAGTCAGTGCATGACAGAGGGCGTGTCTGAAGTTGGGGCTGTCGTGATCATCATGGCAGTGTCAGCCAATAAATTAATAATAATAATAATTCCTTACATTTATATGGCTCTTTTCTAGACACTCAAAGCGTTTTGCACATATTTGTACATCTCATCCATCATCAGTGTGCAGCATCCATCTGGATGGCGCGACGGCAGCCATTTTGCGCCAGACCGCACACCACACACCAGCTGATTGGTGGAGAGGAGACAGAGATGAAACCAATTATGATATCGGGAGGGTTAGGAGACCATGATGGACAGAGGCCAGATTTGGCCAAGATGCCGGGGTTAAACCCCTACTCTTTTACCAAGGACATCCTGGGATTTTTAATGAGCACAGAGATTTAGAACCTCGGTTTCACGTCTCATCCAAAAGACGACGCTCACTGAGCAGTATAGAGTTCTCGTTACTATACTGGGGCATTAGGACCCACACAGAAGACAGGTTGGGCGCCCCCTGCCGATCTTGCTAACGCCACTTCCGGCAGCATCATAGCTTTCCCATGTGGTCTCCCATCCAGGTACTGACCAGGCGCAGCCCTGCTTAGCTTCAGTTGGCAACCATGTGAGAGTGGCAGAGATCTAGCTGCTGGCTCACTAAAATTAGTCAGCAATCGGCTACTGTCTGAGCTGGTGTATTTGCATACAGCGAACTAAAGCGGTGTTGACGGATCCACAATGCAGTTCTGCAACATCTGACATGACCCATCCTAAGTGAATAAGAAGTGTTGACACTGACGCCCGTGTGATGCTGTCACTATCCCACTTTCTGAAATCATTCCTCACAGCAAACAACCTGCAGTGGCAATTGTGCATACAGTGTGCCTCAATATCTAAACCAGGAAGAAAAAAACGTTTGACTTCCCCCTGGTGGTTAGAGGTTGTTGTGTGTACTGCGTCATCAGATTCCAATTGCTTCTTTGTTGGACACTCGTCACAGTTGAGTCACACTGCAGGAAAGAGTCTGGAGTCTGCTAGAACTTCATCTGAGGGACAGTCTGATTGTAATGGCCACTAATCGGCTGTCAGTAAACATGTCAAACCAACGAACATAGATCACAGATTTTATCCTACGAAATTTTTGTCAAATTTGTCTGATGAAAGATGAAAGAATTGTGGCTGAAATCCCATAGTGTGAGCAGAGGTTTAAATCCCCCTGCTTGTGAGACTAGGGTGTGTGGATGTATTTACTGTAGAGGAAGATGATGCCCTTCTATTACTTATGAATGGAAAAGAAAGGCTTCATCTCCTTAATAGTGCACTATTTGAGAAAGTAGCCATTTGTAATGTTGTCCAAAACCATAGTGGATGGTCTGTAAGTGCTCAATCAATCCCACAATACACTGCAATAACAAGTCTGCGACCCATGCACACTCAACAGCAAGAGAGTACCCATAATGCACCCATAATGAGTTCACATGCCAACTGAATTTCCACACATGACCACAAGATGACATCTAAAGCACAATGCTATTAGTTTATGTTTAAAATCATTAAACACAAACCAAACGGCGTCCCTTCAGTCCTCTGAGTGCTCGAATTCACTCACTCAGTTCATTCACTCCTCCAAGTGGACTGTCTTAGTGGACTAATGTAGGGAATAGTTAAATAGAAGGGCATTTCATTTACAAAAAAAAGTGTAACAACCCAAACTGAGAATAAGCCCTGCCGTCTCAATACGAGATCCAACCACTGAGAAGTGACATCATCACATCACTGTAGAGATAATGAAAGGCGTAGAGGTATTGACAACTCTGGTAACTATATACTCAAATTTGCGATGTTTACTGGCTGCTAGTATGAAAAAGCACAATACATAAACTTTTTCATTGGTGTTTTCAAACATATAACATTTTATCTTGAGATTATTGTACAGTTTTAGAGAATTTAGTGTTTCTTTATTCAAAAGTGTAGGACAGGGGTCACCAATCTCGGTCCTGGAGGGCCGTGTCCCTGCAGGGTTTAGCTCCAACTTGCCTCAACACACCTGCCTGGATGTTTCAAGTATAGCTAGTAAGAGCTTGATTAGCTTGTTCAGGTGTGTTTGATTAGGGTTGGAGCTAAAATCTGCAGGACACCGGCCCTCCAGGAACAAGTTTGGTGACCCCTGGTGTAGGAGATGTCTGATGGATGTTTTGAAAGATGGCCAGCGGGTAAAATAACTTGCTTTATTGGACTTTGTTAAAGCTGTAGATCTGACCTGAGGGGGCGGACAGGGGCCTGGACAATGGATGAAGTTAGAGTTACTGTAAAACGTACTGCATTGTAAAAAAAATGGCGATTTTCAACTTTCACCTCCTGAAGAGCTTTGACCAGATCCTGAGGGAGGCTGGAGACATTGAGACAGAGTAGTCCATGTTCTCTGACTCCATCGATGAAGCAGCCATTAAGAGTTGTGGCTGTAAAGCCTGTGGTGCCTGTTGAGGTGGCAATCCATCAACCTGGCGGTGGACACCAGAAATAAGGGATGCTGTCAAGCTGAAGAAGGACTTCACCAGGCTTGGTTGGCTTGTGGGACTCCTGAGGCAGCTGATGAGTACTGACAAGCCAAGCATGCTGCAGCTCCGGTGATTGCCGAAGCAAAAACTCAGGCCTGGGAAGAGTTCAGAGAAACCATGGAGGAAGACTACTGGTCGGCCTCAAAGAGATTCTGGCAAACTGTCCAGCGCCTCATGAGGGGAAGCAGTTCCACAACAACACTATTTACCACAGAAGAGGGGAACACTGTCTAATGGTGAAAGGAATACTTTGAAGATCTTCTCAATCCCATTCACATTGAGGAAGCAGAGTTTGGAGATGCAGGGATGGAGCCAAGCTAAATTCACTGAGGGAGATTAGTGAGATTAGTTCACCACAGTGGCGAAGCAGCAGGGGAGGATGATACCACATGTACCTCAGATCTCTGGATGTTGTAGATTGTCTTGGCTGACACGTCTCTACAATATCGCGTGGAGGTCGGTGACAGTACCTCTGGACTGGGCAACTGGAGTGGTTCGCATTATTAAGAAAGAGCACCAGAGGGTGTGTTCCAGCTATGGGGGGGTCACTCTTCAGGTTCCTGGAAAAGTCCATGCCAGGGTATTGGATAGGAGGATCTGTAATGGTTGAACCTTTGGTCCCAAAGAAACAGTGCTAATTTTGTCCAGGCCGTGGAACACTGGAACATCTGTATACCCTCGCCAGGGTGCTTAAGGGTGCCCAACCAGTCCATGTGTGTTTTGTGGAATTGGTGAAGGGATTCTGTGGGGGTGCTCTGGGAATTTGTCGTCAGAAGCGCTCTGTTAAGGGATGAACAGAGCAGGAGTTTGTTTTGCATTGCCAGCAGTAAGTCAGACTTCCTGGTGCATGTTGGGCTCTGGCAGGGCGGCACTTTGTCACCAGTTCTGTTCATCATTTTTACGAACACAATTTTTCAAAGCAGCCTATGAGTCTCAGGGGGTCTGGATGGGCCACAGGATTTCATCTCTGTTATTTACAGATGATGCTGTTTTGTTGGCTTCATCGGACATAGACCTTCAGCATACACTGGGGCGGTTTGCTGCCAAGTGTGACATGGCAGGAATGAGAATCAGCTCCTCCAAGTCAGAGGCCATGGTGCTCGGCCAGAAAATGTGGCTTTCCATCTCCAGATTGGAGGAAAATTTTTACCCCAGGAGTTCAATTTTCTTGGGGTTTTCTTTAGGAGTCATTAAAGGATGGAACATGAGATTGACAGGCAAATCGATGCAGTGGCAGTAGTAATTTGGTCAGTGTATTGGTCCATTGTGGTAAAGAAGCTGAGCCAAAAGGCAAAGCTGTCACTTTACCAGTCAAACTACATTCCTAGTCTCACCTATGGTCTTGAGCTTTGGGTCAAATTCTTGGATGTACCCAGCGCCGGATAAATGGCAGGCAATAGTTGGATGAATGGCTGGATAATGTGGTAATATTTTTTACTGCCACCTTTCCACAACTGGAAAAATTCAATGCAAAATTTTAGTAAATTGAAGGAAATTAAAATTGTACCTACTTTCTCGTGCTCAATCATGTTTTTACATTGTGTTTTAGCAGTTGTAAATATGGACACACTTTATTATAATATGCACCCTATTTTATAATGTCACGCATGCACTGACAACACTAACACTGATCATTTAGATAAATATCTGTTTAGTATTTATACTGTTGTTCAGCAGATTATCCACCAGTGTTAAGTGTTAGAGTGGCGATAGTGTTATCACTCATACCATCATCATATATAGTCATATGTGGCCTAGTCTTGTTAAAGCACTCAGGAATAGACATGACTCTATATGGCCAGATGACTTCAAGTGACTCTGACATGATGTGTGTGGTGAGGGGCGAACCAACGTGTTGCAGCTCATAGAAAGAGGAACTGACTCAGAAAGATTCACACCATCAGTCTAAACGGCCGTATAGTTGACGCCCCACCGCTAAATGTGTGTTCAACCAGTGTGGTCAAACTAACACCAACAACAGGTCTAAATTCAACCTTTCCTCCTACAGTGTGTGTGAAAGCCTTGCCTCTTTGCACTTCATCTGCTGTCAGAGGCTTAAAGCAACTTTGAAGAGTGTTATTTATTTCTGCTTATTTATCTAAATCAACATGCTTTCATTCTCTTTGGTTTATGTTTTTGAATTCTGTGATGTTTGAAGGAAAATATAATCTCACTTCCTAATAAGCTGCCACCAAATATCAGACAGGAAAATGTAGTAGGTTGTTGTAGTAGAAGCTACTGTTGGCCTTTTCTTCTATAATAAATGACCTGCGCCTCATGCACATTCATAACTTGAGATGCAGTAACTATAGAAAGCACAGCACTCACTGCCATGTGTTGCCAGAAACTACAGTAAAACACTTAATAATAAAAACACTGGGTTAAATCTTAATGAAGTCCCTTGCCTTAGTTTTTTTCCACCCTAGGTATACCTCCAAGTCTTCTTAAAATGAAAATATAATGATTCTAACCTAAAATAGTGTTTTGTCAAGGATATAGTCATGAAAATGCTATGAAAAAGTCTATAGACTTTCTGGAGTTTCTTAACTCAAAGTACAAACTCCAAATGACCCAAGAATCCCTTGCAAATGCCTCTTCTAGTGTTCTGCCTGAGGTTTCTGTTCACCTTTGTGATTAAATCTGGATTTGGGCCACATTTCTGCATAGATGTAATGAAGTAAAACCCTTATAACATAATGAGGAGGCGGGAACCAATGAACATTTCACACACTTTAATAATTATATTAATATCAATATAAAACCAAACTAAATTGTGGATGATACATGGACAACAGCTGCACAAACATAACTCCAACACCTGGCCTGGTCCTCTGCCGTCCCTCCTCTATTTATCCTCTCAGTGTTTCTCAGTGGGATTAGACACTGGTATGGTGCACAGGTGATGCTTATTGATACCCAAAATGGTGCCTACTTCTGCACTAACCAGAGGTTGAAGTCATAGTGGCTACAAGACATGGACAATATTAGAGGCGGCAAGAGACAAGGAGATTGAAGAATGAGGAGAGACAGGAGAGGGAAAAAATTAGAGAAGAAAAACAATAAACCAATGTAGTGAAGAGTAAAACAACATCAAATTCTCCAAAGCACACTGTCGGCAGGTCACACTAAGCATCAATTATCCGTTTTCCTTGCTCTATCTCAGCCTCTGGACAACGGTAGTGATTTCTTCATCCTAGACTTTTTAAATAAAAAGTTCTAGTGGGTAGGAAAGAGATGAGTATTGATTGGGAAGAATCGTCAAAGAACTTAGAGATGGTAATCAAACTCAGCTCACCGTTAGTGTCAATGCACTTAACCTCTAGGCCAGGGATGTCAAACTCAATTCCTGGAGGGCCAACCCTAATTAAACACACCTGATCAAACTAATTGAGTACTTCAGGCTTGTTTGAAACCTACAGGTAAGTGTGTTGAAGCAGGGTTGGAACTAAACTGTGCAGAGCTGCTGCCCTCCAGGAATTGAGTTTGACATCCTGGCAGTAGGTTGTTGTCACCGATGTCAGTCATACAGAGTTGATCTTAAAAGTACATAATGGCAAAATCTCAATCCTCCAGTGGCAAGAGATCTCAGACAGCACATTCCCCCTTCATCCCAGGCTTTGTCCTTTGTCCTCTCACTAGACACAGGTGTGGTGCACAGGTGATTCTTATTGATATTCAGCCAAACTCTGCTTCCACGGTTCTCAGACCCTCCCTACACACTGCAGTAGGCTTTTTTCAGACACATGACTATGCTCACACACACATCTTTGGAGAAACCATGCTCAATCAGGGGCCAGTTTGGCTCAAACTATTGGGCAAAGCAGGATTTAACGATAGGGGAAGTAAATTAATCACACTCTCTCCATCTTCAATACCCAGCAATGCACTGAACCCTTAATTGCTCCCACTGGTCTGGGTGTATTCTCAGTTTGTGTGTGTGTGCTCTTCTTACCTCTCTGACAGGTCATTCAGGGTGTCTTGGAGGGGAGAGGTGTCCAACCTACAGCATCTAAACACTGGGGTACCTCAAGGCTCTGTTCTTGGGCCACTTCTCTTCTCCATCTACACATCATCTCTAGGACCAGTCATCCAGAGACATGGATTCTCCTACCACTGCTATGCTGATGATACCCAGCTATACCTCTCTTTTCATCCTGATGATCCCTCGGTTCCAGCTCGTATCTCAGCCTGCCTGTTGGACATTTCACACTGGATGAACGATCATCATCTTCAGCTGAACCTCGCAAAAACGAAAATGCTTGTAGTTTCTGTCAACTCGACTCTTCACCAAAACTTTTCAATCCAGATGGATGGGGCAACCATTACTGCATCCAAAATGGTGAAAAGCCTTGGAGTAACAGTTGATGACCAACTAAACTTCTCTGACCACATTTCTAGAACTGCTCGATCGTGCAGATTCACACTCTACAACATCAGAAAGATCCGACCCTTCTTATCTGAACATGCAGCTCAACTCCTTGTTCAAGCTCTTGTTCTCTCCAAACTGGATTACTGCAACTCTCTACTAGCTGAACCTAAAAGAGCACATGTCACTCCACTGCTCATCCGTTTGCACTGGCTGCCAGTTGCTGCTCGCATCAAATTCAAAGCTCTGATGTTTGCTTACAAAGCGACTTCTGGCTTTGCTCCTTCTTATCTGCTCTCACTTCTGCAGATGTATGTGTCCTCCAGAAACTTGCGTTCTGTGAATGAACGTCGCCTCGTGGTTCCATCCCAAAGAGGGAAGAAATCACTTTCCCGAACCCTCGCGCTCAATCTGCCCAGTTGGTGGAATGAACTCCCTAACTGCATCAGAACAGCAGAGTCACTCGCTATTTTCAAGAAACGACTAAAAACTCAACTATTTAGTCTCCACTTCACTTCCTAATCTGCAATTGCCTCTCTGGATATACCACTAACTGTACCCAAAAAAAATAAATAAATAAAATTAATAAAACTTTACAAAGAAATTACAAAAAAATTACTTAGTTACTAAAAAATGTACTAATACTTTCCTTCTTAGACTTTACAGACCTGAAACTTGCCTATAGCACTTCTTCATTGTTGCTCTTATAGTTGTGTAAATTGCTTCCTTGTCCTCATTTGTAAGTCGCTTTGGATAAAAGTGTCTGCTAATTGACTAAATGTAAATGTAAAAACTTCATCAAAAACGTGTGTGTACATTTAAAGGGGTAAATGGAGAAGACCCATTTAAATATGAGTAAAACCATAGTTGACAAGGATCAAGATGCTATTTGGTGTAGAGTGTCTTAAGGAAAGTGTTCCCGTCTCTGGTTGCCCTAATTAATGCAGCCTTACAATCCTTTAGAAGATTTGGATTTCAAAAGTTCTGTGTTTGTGTTAAATGTGTATGCTAATGCAGAGAGATGTGTGTTTAGTCTAGTTTTACACTGACAGAGTGTGTCTGACTGCAGAAATGAGCTAGGAAGGCTGATCCAGAGTTTAGCTAATGATGTGAGAATGATCGACCACCTTGAGTCAATGTTGATATTCCAGAAATCAGAAGCAGTGTTTTGTCTAGACTACAGTAACAGGGTTTAGAGAGGGGCTCTGGACAGGACACTCCAGAACTAACACTGGTCAGATAGCGTGAGCACTGAGTTATCAGGCCTTCAGATAATATTGTGTGAAAAACTGATGCATCAGACAAGTGTTGAGCTGTTGTTAACAGCAAAGGCAGCCTGTAGAAGCACATGGAAAGAGGAACCCAGAGGAGCTGTGAGAGAAAGATTCACACCATCAGCTAAACTGGTTGACCAGACACTGCTGAATGAGGGTTAAACCAGTGTGGTCAAACTAACTGAGTTCCACACAGTCAGCAGAACAACAGATCCAAACCAGAAGAGCGAGACCACAGCTCTGAACACAGCAGAACTGATGCAGGATCAGCTCCACTGTAGGATCTGTGTGTGTGTTTCAGTATATCAGACATCACAGTATTGCAGGAAAGTCTTGAGTCTGCAGTACCTGCAATTACACTCCACTGTAAAGCTTGAGTTTAAGAGTGTGCTTGATTAAACAGGAATTAATCACATTAAAATAGTTCAAATGTAGACTTTAAATGAGTAAAACATGAAAAAAAGACCTCATCATTAAGGTTAAATATTCACATCAGCTGGTACAAATGTAGTTTCATATAGTATAGTGGAATACAAGCTTGAGTATTACTGACGTTTCCTTTGTTGTTTCATCATGTCGCTGAAATACAGCGCTATAACCATGTTTAGTGTCCATTATAGAGTTAAAACTGTGACGCATTACTGAGAGGAAGCTGCAGAAGCACAGGAAGAGCTGCTGCTGTTTAAACAAGAGCTCAACATATATATATATATATATAAAGCAGAAGACGAGTGTCAGACACACAGAATGGCTGATAGGAGTCCTCTGTTTCTGCTGCTCATCTTCTGGACACTCAGCACAGGTAAACACTGCTGTTCATCATCTACAAGATTATAAACTCAGCACTTCAGCTCATTATTCTGGCTGTTTTAGGAGGCTGTGATGTTTGCAGTAATGGATTGTGAGTCAGTGTGTGACTCTGGACCTCAGTGTCTTGTACCGCAGCAGCAGAGTTTAGGCGACATTTAGAAAGTCATTAATTGGGTCAAAATCACAGATTTTATGCCAATGAAGATTTATTTTAATTTCCTACTGTAAATATTTTAAATCTTATATTTAAGTATTTTGCATTTCTAACAGTATATATGTTTTGGCAGATAAGCACTAAGTTGTCTTTTGTATGTAATTAAAGGTTAAATAACATTTATTGGGTTAGGGTTAGGCTGTTTCTTATTGGCTGTTTCAACTATTTATTATTGTGCAGTAAAATATAACATTAAATGTGTGTTTCAGGTGTGTTTGGAGCAGAAGACACTCGTGTGTTCAGCAGTTCTGGAGAAACTGTTCATCTGCCCTGTAGAAACACTGATCAGCCCTGCAGACCATCAGGAACTACATGGACCTACAGCAGTTACAGACAGACAACAGCAGTTGAGCTGATTGGTTTAGGGGTAAATAAGACAAACTCAGAGAGACTGAATCTGGGCTCTGACTGCTCTCTGATCATCAGTAGAGTCACAACAGAAGATGCTGGACTTTACACCTGTCAACAGTGGAGTGGAGAAGGAGGACACCGGTATGGAGCTGATTCAGTTGTGTTTCTGCATGTTGTTGCTGGTAATTTCCTCTTCATGTGTTCAGTTTAATCAGGGCTGAATTCTGTGTTTCAGCTCATGATCAGTGATTTGTGTCTTCTGTTCACTTTCAGTCTCTCCATCATCATCATCATCATCATCATCTTCTTCATCATCATCTGATATTGGTCCGGGTGTCTTTCTGACTCTTTCCTGTCAGCTGTATTCAGACAATGGACACTCTTGTGAAAGTTTGGTCACATATGAGCATCTTCATCTGTCCTGGGTGAATGAGGCTGGTGTTGATCTGAACACAAACTCCAGATATCAGATAATCTTCTATCCTCAACACTGTCTCATCAGTCTGTCTACAACACTCATCAGTGAAGATGAAGATAAACAGTGGAGATGTGGAGTCTATCAGAGAAATCAACTGAAGACCTCAGACACGTTTACTGTCCACTATTCAGGTCAGAGACTCATCAGACACTTTAACACTCACATTAACATCACTGAACCACAGTAAACCTGACAGAAGAGTTAATCAAAGTATTGCCCATATTCATCATGTTAATTTGATTAATTAGTTATGGGAGTCTAATAATAGAAAAGGGTCTGTCTCTGGCACATGTACTCTCAGACGTGCACACGTTTAATGTTAGGACCTCTAACTCTTACCCTCACAGTGATGTCACAAAGCATCCTCTAATTATTATCACTAGAAATGATCACAATCTCCCATATGATCTGATGATAGTAGTTTTGTTTGATAGTAATGTATAGTGTCTATATGGTATAATCTGTAAATGTTTACTGTGTGGAATTGTTGGAAAGCCAATGCAACAGTTAGTCCTCCCCTCTGCAAACAGCAGTAAAGATGCTTTAATCCGCATTGAACCCAGATGGTAGGCTTATATCATGCAAAGTTATTTGTTTATAGTGATGTTGATACATTGATGGCTTTGGTGAGATTCATTCATTCATTTTCTTTGTGACTTAGTCCCTTTATTAATCTGGGGTGCCACAATGGAATGAACCGCCAACTTATCCAGCATATGTTTTACTCAGTGAATGTCCTTCCAGCTGCAACCCACCACTGGGAAACACGCATACATTCACAGTCATACTACAGACAATTTTAGCTCACCAAAATAACCTGTACTGTGTGTGTTTGGACTGTGGGGGAAACCAAAGCACCCGGAGGAAACCCACGCAAACACAGGAGAACATGCAAACTCCACACAGAAAAACACCAACTGACCCAGCCGAGACTCAAATCAGTGACCTTCTTGCTATGAGGTGACAGAACTACCTGCTGCGCAACCGCGTTGTCCGCTGTGGTGAGATCAATGAGTACACTTTTTGCAGACCTAAAATACATACAGAATACAGGTTTTATAATTTCACAGACTGTAAACCTTTTATTCATTTTATTCACTTTTTTCAACAACCCATATAAAAACCAATCCCTGAACTTTTATTAATGTACTTACGCAGGTGTTTGCAGATTGCATTAGGTTGTTGCCACCCCTGCATAATTCTTTATATGTATACAATACTTAAAGAAAAGTACATCGTAAACTCATTTTACTTATGAGTTTTTTTGCATGTGAAATATCTTATATTTACCCCCTTTTTGCCCAAACATTATGGTTTGTTCCTTTGAAATTTACAGATAAGTACACCGTAAATTTAATATACTTACGTGGTATTTTGATAGTTGAATATCTGGTTGTTACCCCCTTATTACCTAAGCGTTACAGCTTGTTCCCTTATATCTAGACATATATTCTTATATTTTGTCACGGTCGGTGAGGGGAAAAAGGAGCGAGGACTCAGGTGCAGCAATAATGGGTCTTTATTAATAATAAAATGAAAACAAAAAGGCAAAACAAACAACCCCGAGGGGGAAAAACTCTAATAAAACAAATAAACGAACAAACAAACTTGACTAGACTGGCTGGACAAGACAGGGCTGGATACAACAGGACAGGAAACTATCGACGACGAACTGGCAAAGGACTGAAAACATGAGGGGGATTATAAAGCAAAAAGTAAATTGACACAAACAGGTGAACACGACAAACTAATAATGAGTAAACAAGGAGGGTGGGACTAGACAATAGACGGGAGAGCGCATGACACAGAGAGACAATACAAGCCATGTGCTCACATAACACAACACTGAAGCACACAACAAAAGCACGTGACCACAATGTAAACACCGAGCCACGTGCTTTGACAAAAGACGCAAGACACGAGCACACGATGAATGAAAACACTCATCGTGCGCTCACACACGCAGCGTGCATGCTTCATCCCAGCGCCGACCAAAACCGAAACCAAAAAGACTGAGACGCTGGGAATGAAACACCACGCTGCTGACAGACGAAAACACAAACACGAGTACAAGAGCGCACGCGCGTCTGAGGGACGCAGAGCGCGCGCGCGGCCGCGTCAAGCAGGAGCGCTTACACTCTGCGTACACCCACGACGGCGCGCGCTCACACAGAGACAGAAACAGGACCAGACACGGGTAGTGTCAGAGCTCTGCCACCAAAACAAGAATTTACAAGACCAAAGTGGCAGAACCCTGACATATTTATACTATATTTACAAAAAAGTACACCGTTATTTCACTGTACTTACACGGTGCTTTGCGGGTTGTAAAACAAAGCGTTACCAAAGTGTAATTATTTATTCATATCAAAACTTTATGACATTGTAAGTTACACTTGTAAACCTAAGCTGCTATTGTTGTAAATATTTATACACTGTTTATATCAGCTTACATGTACACATTTACTCTTACTAAACACTGCCAGCATGTATTTCTCATTACCCATCCTGTAAAAACCTGGTTAAATGACTGAAGGCCTGGATGTGGTGTTGTTCTTAATGAAAGATCATTTATCTAAGTTTAGCTTATCTGAGTTTATATTAAAGCTCTGTGAAGTGCTCTGAAATCTACATATTATATTCAGTGTTTGACATAATCTCAAAGAAAACAATCACAAGAGGGAGGGACACTGTGTAGCCCCTCCCCCTTAAAAAACAGCCAATAGTGTGTGTTTTTATTACAGCTCTGCCAGTGAGAACGGTTGAGATCAAACTCATCAAATGAGAAGCGTCTTAAAGGGGGCGGGGCATCTGAGACACTAGAGAGCTTTTGATTGGTCAGAAGATTTGAAGAGAATAAAAGCGTTAATTAGGTGGAAGAGACTAACTGCAAGTTTGACATGTTTATATCAGGTTTATTTCTTATAAATGCGAATTTTGTCACTGTTTTAGAGACACTAGCTTATAGATATCCTAAATATTAATACTACAACTAACACTGATATCTAAAAAACTTTAGTAATTAATGTTAATTTCACCTTTAAACTGTGTATCTGGGACTCTTATTTTGAAAATGTGAGACTCAAAATACAGGATACAAGAACTATTAATGTGTTCAGCACCAACCTGAAGAGGCCTGAGCTCAGTTTAGTTGTCTTCAGTTAATTGATCATGTTTACTATTATTTTAGCTTTACTATGTATATCTGTAATGAGGGATGTAGACTGTTGAGTGTGTGGTTAATACACATTTAGGCATCGTGTCAAATCACTCAGCTCTTATTGTCATGTTTCCGGAGTGAAATCCCAGCAGTACACTTTATTAAACATCATCTGTTCATGCAGAGGTGGTTCTCTTTCATCACCTTGTGTTCGAGATCCACCTATGGGAAGGCATTCCTGCCTGACCTCTGCAGAAGCATCCAATTGCACCAAGTCTGGCTTGACAGACAGAAGCGCATGCCCAATGGCAGGTAAGGGACCGCCCCTTTACCTTTAAATCATTCTGCACGCGCTGCTATTCCTCAGTTAACATTCGCTTCTCGCTGACTGCAACTCTACAGCTCACTACTGCTTGGATTACTACTGCTCATTTACGTGTCTTCAGGAGGACATAACTTTCGATCAGCCTCCACCAGACTTTACAATCTGTTATCCAACCAGGTAAGTTGTGGTTTCGCACCCTGAGCTGCCCACGCTCCTCTTACACTTGTCCCTGTCCACAGCTGCCCGCCTCGGATATGTTGCTTTCTAAGTTTGCCGCTTCTCCCGAGCACTCATCACGGGCCTGCCCAGCTGCGTGTGGCACGCTTATTGCTGCAAAGGACTCCCACCCCTTCTGTGTTGTCTGCTTGGGCCTCAAGCACGCTCAAGAGGCATTGGAAACCCCCGAGAATTGCAGCCATTGTCATAAATTACCAAAAAAGCTTCTTTGGCATCATATGAAAGTTGCAGCGACTCAGGTTGTTGAACTTTCCTATTCGGATGGGGGACATGGTGATGACAGCGCGCAGCCGGGGAACTCTCAGGGCACTATGTCTTTTGACTGGGCTGACCAGCCCAATCCTGCATTCCCCAAAGATGACATCTTCGTGGGTGTTCCACAAAATGGACCGCTTTTCTGCCTCTGTTTACCAAGAAGCCTACAGGTCCTCAGCTGTAATGGTGAGGGCTCTTAATGTCTCCTCGCTCCTCTCCGCTTACTAGGCGGAGCTGTTGGACGACTTGGGACAGCATCTGGACAAGGGAACCCCTACCCCATCACTGTGGAAGGAGATTCTCAAAGTTAACAACCTCGTCCTCCGTAACGCACGTCAGGCCGTCCAAGCCTGCTGGCGCTCCATGGCGCTTTCAGTGGTAAGAGCGCAAGCTCTGGTTGAATCTGTCGGGGCTCCCTGACAGTGAAAAGAGGCGCATTGTGGGTGCTCCAGTTGAGCCCGGACAGTCTCTCTTTGGCCCCGTCGTTGCATTAATGCAACAACGCTGCAATGACAAAATGAAGGAGGATGAAGCCTTCAAATTACGTCTTTCTAGGAAAGCAGCTCCACACCAGGTGCCCCCAGCGCGCGCCCCCTGCCACAGGGCGGAATTTCCATCAGGGCAAAGATAAGCCTTGCACCAGACTCCCTCCGTGACAGGGCAACCAACCCTATGCAAAACCTTGGGGAAGATCAATGCCCAATGCCGCGGGAAAACCCCCAGTTCCAACCCCTTCAGATCCGCAAGCGGCCGGCCGGATGTTCAGTCGATGGGGGTGCCGAGTCTGTGTTCACGGGCCAAAAGCCCAACAGACTCTTTTCTACAGGCTTCAGTTTGCCAAAAGACCCCCGCGTTTCACCGGAGTTCTCTCTTCTCATACAGAAAAGAGCTCTGCTTACATTCTGAAAGACGAAATCTCCTCTCTTCTGCAGAAGGGGGCTGTTCGAGTGGTACCCCCGCACCTGATCGGGCTGGGGTTTTACTCTTGTTATTTCCTAGTTCCAAAGAAAGACGGCTCTCTTTGTCCTATCTTGGATTTCAGAGTGTTGAACAAACATTTGAGGAAATACAGCTTCAGATTGTTAACACACAGTTCTCTCTTATGCTCAGTAAATCAGAACGATTGGTTCACATCGATCGATCTGAAAGATGCT